TGGCCACCTAATGTGAAGAGAGGACTTTTTGGAAAAGACCCTGATGCTGGGAAAGATTGAAGGCAAAAGGAGAAGGGGACTGCAGAGGTTATGATGATTAGATAGCATCACTGAAGCAATGAACATGAAATTGAGCAAACTCTTGGAGCCAGTGAAGGACAGGAAGGCCTGGCGCGATATGGTTCATGGGGTCACAAAGAATCAGACATGACTTAATGACTCAATAACAAACCCACTGATATAGTTTTCAGGCAAGAATGTCAAAATCTTACAAGATTTGGTGATCTTGTGAGATTTTTGGCCATTTAAAAATAATTATATGTTTTTATTTTTATTTATGGTTTCAGCACCATGGATCTCCTCTGGTGGTGTTGTTGATGATGTGTTCATGTTATTTCTGCAAGTATTTCTCCTGTTGTCTGTCTAAACTGTATACAGAATTGTGATAATTCCTCATTTTGCAACAATGATACATCAAAATGTAGAAAATAACTTACTCAAAAAGACTTTCTTGGATTTCCAGTACCTAACGGAAGTTATTCATTTCCTTTTCTGGTGGTTTATGGATATTAGATGTTTACCAAAATGATTCTACTATCTACTGGCCTTGAATAAAGGTTACATGATACTTTTCAGTGGACAGAATCTAATAAGGCAGAGTGCTCCTGGGTGGATATGCTCCTTTAGTCCACATAACTCTGTTTATCTCATCCTTAATTCTCGATGCAGGAATCACTTAGATGAGTTGCAGTCCAGCTCATCTCTGTTGTTCAAACAGGCCAAATTCATTTGTTTCTCCTGAGAACAGTGCTAGTTTCAGAATGTAGAACCATCTATGAACTTGCAAGCTTCACTAGCCAGGTTTGTTAATTAAAAAATATTAAGGTAATATAAAACTAGCCATTCTCAGATCCTGCTCATCAGCCTTCTGCAGATTGGGGTCAATGGATTGCAGGGGATAGAATAGAAAGAAAAGTTTCAGTTTCTGGACTGGGGACACAAACTCCATTCCATTGTCTGTACACCTTTTGTATGTCTATGTGTGGAGGTGGTGGGGAGTAGTTAAGTTAAAGCATGGGATAGTGGTTAAGATATTGGACTAGGACCAGGATGATCTGGTTGAAATCTCCCCTCTGCCAGAGAAGCTTACTGGGTAACTTCTGCCCCATGAAATCAAGTTTGTTGTTGTGACAGAAAGCTAGGGAAGGGAGTGTTCCTTGAGGAAATATAGAATATTAACCAAATGAATAAATAAGAATAAACAAATACATAAAATCTGCAATGGGAGTTGAAATT